CCCGCCCCCTCCAGCGCTGGCTCCAGGGTGCAGCCACCTGCGCCCTGCCCGCCCCACCCCTCCCCTCTCCCTTCTCCCTGGGGTGCTCACAGGAGGGCGATGAGGACGAAGACAAGTAGCGGGATCTTCACAGCCGCTTCCCAGATGGCCGTCAGAATCACCTCTGCTGCGACGCGCCCCGACTGCCCTGCAGGAAAGTGGGACCAGGATGGAATCATCTGCTGGACCTCAATCCTGTGTCCTTCCGCTCCCAGGAGGACTCTGGACGTTGGTCTTCCAGGCTTTCCTCATCCACCGGATGCCGAGCCCCATGTGCCCGGGGTATCAGCCCACCCCATCCATGCCCTTACCTTCCAGCAGCTGAACAGAAAACAAAAATGCATAAGTTGGACTTCATGAAAATGAAAAATTTGGCTCATCAATCGACTGAGAAAGTGAAAAACCAACCCATTTAATGGGAGAAAATATTTGCAAATCATAGATTCGATATGTGTGTGTTATCCAGCCTATATAAAAGCTATATAAAAAACAATTCAAGAACAAAAAGACAAACAACGCAAGTTTTCAAAACGGACAAAGGAATAAAAAAATTCTCCAAACGACCAATACGTTCATGAATACAATGAACGACGTCATTACTCGCTCCATAAATGTAAATCAAAACATGATGAGATATTTCCTCACACCCACTAGCAGGCTCGAAGTTTTTTTTTAAGGAAAATAATGTCGACAAGGATCTGGAGAAATTGGAACCCTCATACATTGCTGGTGAGAATGTAAAATGGTGCTGCCGGTGTGGAAAACATCTGGCATTTCCTCAGAAAGTTAAAATTAGAAACTACCATTTGACCCCGAAATTTCACTCCTAGGTATATGCCCGAGAAAACTGAAATCAATGATCCAAAAAAAAAAAAAAAAAAAAGGAAAAGTATAGCAACGTTCATAGCAGCATTGTAATAGCCAAAAAGTGGAAACAACCCAAATGTCCATCCACTGCTAACGGGATGAGGAGAAGCTGGCACATCCACGCAATGGAATATTATTCAGACAAAAGGGGATTGATACTGATACATGCTCTATGGATGATGCTTGAAAATGTTTAGTGAAAGAAGCCAGACAGAAAAGGCCACTGTTTTGTAACATTCCACTTGTATGAAATATCCACTATAGGCAGATCCAGAGACATGGAAAGCAGATCAGTGGTTGCCAGGGGCTGGGAGGGGAGTGTGGGGAGTGACTAGTTAATGGGTACCAGGCTTCTCTTTGGGGTGATGAAAACATCAGATGGATGGAATTATGTAGTGGTGATGGTTGTACAACATCGTGAATGTTCTCAAAGCCAACTATTGTACATTTT